CTCCCCTCCCACCCCTGGTAACCAACAAAGAAAATTTCCTTCAATAGATAAACATTTCCTTAACTTTTACAATAACAGACTAATACAATATTTGTCCTTTTGTATTTCACAGACTCTTGTGACTTTTTTTTTTTTTCCAATTATGATTTGGGTAAAAGTTTATAGAGCAAATTTGTTTTCCATACACATTTTGTTTCATGACGTTGATTGTAATCCCCACAGTGTAATAGGTCTCTTCCCACTTCCTGTGGTTACCTTTTCCCTGTGTCCATTTTTCCTATGCATTCTTGCCGTCTGAGCTATGTCCGGGGCAAACACTGCCCTTCTGATCTCCCATGGTTGACTGTTCTAAGGAGTGTACCCTATGTGGTGTAATTGTTCACATTGTAGGCCTGCCTATGACTGGCTTTAACAGGCAAGAGACAGTCTCTGAACAAGAAAGCAAATAAGGGAAGAGCTCAGACGAAGGAATTATTCTTATGGGCACTGAGCCTGGATAAAACTAGATTACCACAAACTGACTGTATAGAAGTTGAAGAGACAAATGCCTTAAGTACTATAAATAAAAACTTTTCAGACATTAGAGTAACAAATGGAAAGAACATGAAAAGCAACTAAGTTGGTGTCCTCAGTGCTAAATATAAGGATGAAGCCAAGTACAGACCAAGCACTTATGGAACAGACAGAAGAAAAGCTCCAAGACATACTGAGAAGCTTTCTTGAATTAGGAAGAGGTAGAAAGAGTGAATAAAGGCATCTTGGCGAGTGGAAAGGATTAGCGAGACACCCCCTTGCTAGGATATTCAGAATCAGTGTCTATGTATGAGAATTATAGGTGTTTGATTCCAATATGATTATTTTAAAATATATTTTTTACATTACTCATAAACTCAAACTCACTGCCATCAAGTGGCTTCCCACTCATAGCAACCGCCACTGGATTTCCAAGCCTGTCAATCTTTACGGAAGCAGACTGCCTCATTTTACTTCCGCAGAGCAGCTGGTGGGTTGGTTAGAATCACGAATCTTTTGGTTAGCAGCTTTAACCATTATGCCACCAGATTACTTTTTACATTGTGTTACAAAAATTTTAATTTTCCTCTTAATCCCACTATTTCAATATGTGCAGAAGAAACTGAAGATATTCTTTGATAAAGGCTCAGACCTACAATGATACCCAATTTCCATTGGTCTTCTTTCCTCACTACCTGAACTAAGGTAAAGTTACGATGGGGCTACCATTGCATCTCTGGCTGGGGGAGGATAGCTGCAGAACAGCAAGAACCATTAGAATTCAGTTTGACACTGAACTAAACAAAAATATTTCTGAAACCGTGCAATGTTGCAGTTAGTGACTAACTTACTCTAATCTTTGGTATTTTTCCTAGTAAGATGTCTAACCTCTGTAAGCTGTTTCTTTACCTGTAAAAGTAAAGGTAATAAAATCCATTTTAGAGTTATTGGGAGGATTAAATGGGATAATTAAATTTGAAGCACTTAGCATCATTACTGGTTAAAGTAAGCACTCTTTCCCGGTAAACAACTCAAGTCAAACCAAACTCACTGCCATCCAGTCTTACCGACTCACAGCAACCCCTATTGGGTTTCTAAGGCGGTAAATCTTTATGGAAGTAGAATGCCCATCTTCCTTCCCTGGAACACTACTAACACTTTATTAGTATGATTTAAATCGTCCAAGAAGGCTAGGTTTCAACCGCAAACTTTCTGGTTAGCAGTCAAATGCCTTAGGCACTATGCAACCAGAGCTCCCCTTTAACAATTAGTAACACTACTATTGAAAAGTTAGTAAGGGGAGCTCTGGTAGCATAGTGGCTAAGACACTTGCCTGCTAACCAGACGGCTGGCGGTTCAAACCCACCAGCCACTCCTCGGAAGGAAGGTTGGGCAATCCTACTTCCGTAGTGATACTGTCTCGGAAACCCAAGGAGGGGTCGCTATGAATCACTATGAGTCAGGGCCGACTCGACGGCACATAACAACAACATTATAGAAAAATTCATACTTCTCATATTTTTGATAAATGCAGCTTCAGCCAATGATCAATAATAGTAGCAGAAAGCTAGTATTTATTATTTCCTTTGAACCACTTTATTAGTATTATTTAAATCGTCCACGAAGGCTAAAGTCCCCAGAACTCCGCATAAACCTAGGAGAGGGCCCTCCTACTTTCGCACCACCCCCGCTCATTACCTCTCTAGAAGAGGCAGCTGGGTTAGCAGACAAAAACTAGGGCCACGCGCCGGCCGCCTACTCTCGGTCTTAGTCCTCGGGGCCTAACGGCGCGCGCCTCCCGCTGCCGCCTCCAGCGCTCGAAAGCCCGGCCGCGGCGGTGTCGCAAAAGCGTCGCAAAGTTTCCGTCCTTGGCGGCTCCAGGCCACCTGTATAAGCGGAGCGTGCTGGGGTTTGAAAACTAGTATGGAGGCAGGGACAACTGAGGTTCTCTGGAACTCCTCGGCCTCAATGGAGGGGCAGCTCGCTGGTGCCCCGGGCTGCTGAGCTCACGCCACCTGAGTCCGCGCGGCACGGCCGCAGGGCCATGCTGGCCTCGCGCGTGGCGCGCGGCTCGTGGGGAGCCCTGCGCAGCCCCGCATGGGTGCCAGGGGCGCGGCCGGGCGAGAGACGCTCCCGCGGGGCACTGCTGCAATCTGCGACCTGCTGCCTGCGCTTCCTGGCGGAGCGCCGGTCCCTGCGTCCAGCAGCGCTCGCCGTGCGGTTGCCCGGCGCCGGTCCGCGGGGTTACTGCTCCGGCGAAGGGAAGGCGGCTCCCAGGTCCGCAGCCGAAGGGAGCTCTGCCGCCGAGGCCCCAGTCGGCCGGTGGGGCCCGGCGAGCGCCGCCAGCCTGGTAGGTACTTGGGCCGGGGTCGCCAACCTTCCTTGGATTCAGCCCTGGCCGCGAATAATGTGCGCATGTCGACGCTTCCATCTCAAAACTTTTAAACCGCTTGTCTGAAGATTAGTTACGGGCAGAGCATTTGGAAGGGTTGAATTTCAGAGGTACCAACCATGCCCCCGACTGCTAGGTTCCCTTCGGTCTTGGTGGTCACCCTCTCCGCATTCTGTCCACGCCCATTGGAAAAATAGCCTTCGCTTCTTGTCTTTAACTAAAAGACTATTTTTTCTGAAGCGAATTCCCAGTGTGTAGGGCAAGGCTGTGAGAATCTTCAGAAGGTATGTAGTCCCTTCTGTTTGCTTGCACAGGTTTGGTTCATTAACTTTCGGTAACCTTACATATGACAGGATGTAGAGTAATTAAGTTGTAATTTAAAGATATTTAGCCGCTAATTATAGAAAAATACTAAAACTCTGTTCTTGAGGTAAAGGAAGAGAATATTTACCACCTTATTTTTTATTTGCCCACCTTTTACCTGTTGAAATACTGCTCAAGCAGAAGACTCAAGTGTGTGTGGGGAGAGCTTTTGATGTCATGTTAGCAAGACTCATGCAATTATTACATCTTCAATTGTTATGTCTTCAGTGGGCCCCTGTACTGCTTTCATCAGATGTACAGCATGGGTTGAGGTGACCACATCCTGGCAGGGGTCTCAGCTCCACTAATAGCTGCAGCATGTCTCCATTTGAATCCTGGATGTTTTGAGTTTGCCATATCCTGACTGAAGTCCTTGCCAAAACGCCAGTAGTTGGGCGAGTATGCCACAGGTTATCTGGTTGGGTAATCTGAGATTAGCTCTCTAATTTTAATTTTGAAATGTTCCCAAATTTAATGATTAGATAGAAATTAATAAGGTTACTTAAACTGAAGTGTTTCATGTGGCGCTAAAGAGAACATCTTTCACTGTTCATCCGCATTCAGTCCTGTTTCTTGAATTCATCAAATGACAGGGTCTGTTTGCAACTTTGTTTTGAATTTTGCCCCATAGGTACCTCTGAGGGTGATAGAATTGGCTCTCGGACAACTGGTTTATTTTGACCTTTTGCCTTGTAACTTTTTTTCTCAATCATGAACTACCTTTGTTCTCCCTACAAGTTGCTGTGACTTTGGATTGGTATTTGATTTATTTTGTATCACAATGTGATCAACAGACTTATCTTTTTCTTCTCTGAACTTTGAAAACACTTTGACCTTTGAACTTGAATTTGGAATATATTCCAAGAATGTTTCCATTTAATTGTATAATGTGTTCTACTTGCAATAATAAAAGACCCCTAATAGAGGTTTGTATTGCTTCTTGATTGGTTATTGTTCCCTGGAGAATTTTTTCTCTTACTTTCAATCTTAGGGCACTCAACAACCACCACCACTTATCCCTTCAGGCTGAGTTAAATATTTCCTGCCAAGTTGTATTTATAACACACTTCACATCTTTAGAGAATACCTTTGCTTACAGGATGGTTCTTTAAAATTTTTTATAGATGTCATTAGAAATAGAAATGGGTACTTTAAAAAAAAAAAAAAAGGTTCAGGCAAGTGGATTACTTATTAAGACAGAGGTTAAGTAGTTAGTTGTCAGGAGAGAGTCCCATGGGGTGGAATTGGCAGTCTTGATTCAGTGGAGAAAAAAATCCAGTATGTAGGCAGAGCATTTTGGTGTCATTTCTGGACCCTGTTATGCAGAGTGGCTTAGCTCTGCTAGGCTGAGGCTTTTTAAAGTTGAAATGCTCTCTCAAAAAACATTTTGTTTGCAAGGAAGGGATGTTCTTGACCTTTCATCAGTGCCATCTTTAAGCAGCTTTGATCCAAATTAAGTTTGAAGGAATCATCAGGCTCCCACAGGGGAATTGTGAAAGCCCTGAGTTTCCAACAAGTTGGAGATCTTAACATTTTTGTAACTGTTACGAACAGATTTATAAAACTTCTCTTTATTTCCTAAGAATCTAAGTCCCCATTCCTCTCCATTTTTTTCTAGCAGTTCTCCAATTTAGCGATAAGGTTAGAGAATTTAATCTTTCTTTCCTCTTCATTTGTATTTCCATAGACTCTGTATAGCATTCAGCATTGCTTTGATGGATATGTGTAAGACAGTAAATCTTTTTTCTTTTTTTGCAGTAAATCTTTTAAGCCAAAATGCCTGGGGTTGATAATTTGGCTGTTTCCTAACACTTTCTAGACTGTCTGTTTGAAGTATAAGATCTTCCTGAAGTTTCTCTTTTAAAAGCAGTGTTTTTAGTAAAGTTCTGAATTCTAATGTTGAAGTCATATATTAAAGGCTTACCTTATATAGTAGGTGATACATGTTTGTTTTGTTCCTTTGGGGGAAAAGAAAAAAAACTTGCTATCTATAGTAGACATTTTAGTTTATGTTCAGGTGCGTGACACATCTTCATCTTTTATATTCTTGAGAGGAGTTTTAAGAGAGATGTCTATAAAAAGAACATCAGATGTATTTGAAAGTTCAATTTAAAGTAATAAATTTGAAGTCTGTGGAGCTTTTGATCTTTAAACTAATGAAGTGTACTTTTCCAAGTGTATAGTTAAAGTATGAATTTATAGTATTTAAACTTTGTTGTCTTTGTGTTTCAGTATGAAAACCCATGGACAATCCCAAACATGTTGTCAATGACAAGAATTGGCTTGGCCCCAGTTTTGGGCTATTTGATTATTGAAGAAGATTTTAATATTGCATTAGGAGTTTTTGCTTTAGCTGGGCTAACTGATTTGGTAAGTTGTAACTATACACTCCCTGTTTTGCTCGCCCTCCAAATCCCAGGGTCTCTACGACTACACTGGAATAGCACAGCCTTAGTCTGCTTTCCTTAGAAGGAAATCTTCATGATGAATTTGACCTAGTTCTTGGTGTAAGGGCTTGTCTTTAGCACGAATGTGAGACTCTTTCTTTATACAGTCTAAGGAGAGAAGGTGAAGGTTATAGAGTAGAACAGGAGTGGGGCTTTTTACTCCTGGTTTTAAACTTCTTTGTAAAATGGAAAACCCTTGTTGTTGTAGTTGTTACTACTATGTGCCGTTGAGTTGGACCAACTCATAGCGATCCCTTCTTGGGTTTCCAAGGCGGTATTACTACGGAAGTAGATTGCCCAACCTTCCTTCCGAGGAGTGGCTGGTGGGTTTGAACTACCAGTCTTCTGGTTAGCAGGCAAGTGCCTTAGGTGCTATGCTACCAGAGCTCCTGGAAACCCCTTAGAAATCCTCACAAAGCTGAATGTTTGCTTTAGGAATAGAAATAAAGGAGAGAAGCTGTTTATTGTGAGTTGGAGTGGAGAGAACCTTTCTGATCTGCAGCAACTATTGGTTTTACTGGTAGAGAAGAAACTCGAGGGCCAGTTGTGACCTAGGGAAGATCAGGTGTGGCCAGGGAGTTTGTGGAGGACAGAACTCTGCTCAGGTTTAAGCTTGCAGGAGGCCCTAGGCACTGCACAGATTAAGTTCCTGATCTCCTCTAGCCACCGCCCAGGAGACCACATATTGGACTAGGCATTGGCTGTCCTTTCTTGTTCCACTGCCTCAGCAGGTATTCAGAGTAGAAAAGAGCTCAGGACACCACTGTGTCACCTTTGGGGAAAGGGAAGATTTATTTGGGATATCTCAAATAAGAACTCAGGTACATTGTGTTAAGTAAGTTTTGTGTATAGACCAGAAAATTCCATTATCATGTATAACATTGTTTGTATTTATCATTCACCTTGTTTCATAAAGGATTTGAAAATGGCTTACAAAACTACACACTCTCCAAAAACACAGTTCAGGCAGGTGGTATGAGAGATGCAAATGTAAAATGCAGGCAGTTAGTGTGTAGAAATAGATCCAGTGTGGTTTTGTACAAGGCCAATCTGAGATTCATGTGAGCGTGGTACCCCTTCAAACTGGTGCATGTTTAGAAAACTGCTCAAATTCTATGTAGTGAGAATAGAGAGAAACAAAATTTTCCATTGATAGAAGTTGGATAGTATCTTGGTTTGTAATATCACCTGCTTCCTTTGAGAGTCATAGAAACAAAATTCTGCTGGCCCAGTGGCATCCATGAGCCATGCAGATGAACTAAAGATCTGGAGGGTAAACAGAGGAGGGCATTTGCTTTATTATATGGCAGTTAGCTCCTGTATGTCACTATCTCTCCATTCTCATAATCTCTTTCTTTTGCCCCTGTTTTTATCTCTGAAGCCTGAAGGCCTCCACTTATTATTAGTAGGGTCTCCTAGTCTGTCAAAGGCCATTATACTGAGAATGATTTTTTAAAAAAAAAACTGTAACAGACAAGATCTTTTCCAGTTACTAGTTATTAGACTCATTCTCTCCCTCTTTTAATTGCCACACGAGATTGAAATATTCACTGAATAGAAGTCCCCATTTACATTTTTCTAATTATATAAGATGATATGTGTAGAACCTCAGAAATGTGTTTCACGTTTATTCCATGGAGGTTTTGATGTGTCTAGATGTGTCACTGGGAGCTAGCTGACTCATTGAAGGTTTAAGCAAGGGAGTTACATGATCTGATTTGTATTGTGTGTGAAAATAGATTCTAGGAAAGGAAGAATGGAAGCAGAGAGACAGGTTAGGAAGCGTGCCTTATTCTGGAGAGTGTTGATGACAGCTTGGACTATGGTGAGTTTGGAGTTAGAAAGAAGGGGATGGCCTGGGATATGTTTTAGAGATACAGTGGACATGTTGGTGGATTGGATATGTGGGGCAAGAGAAAGAGGAGTCAACATGACTACAAGGCTGTTCCTTTTCACCAACCAGGTGCATGAATATAACATTTTCTCTGATGGGCAACAAACTGAAGACAGGGTTTTGGGGAACTACTTATGAGTTATGATGCCTAGCTGCAGCAGAAAGGTATCAAGCGAGCAGTTGATAAGTAGTTGGACTTGGAAGAAGTCTTGGTGAGAGAGAGAGATTTGAGAGTTAAAGTATAGAGGTAAAGTCTATGAGAAATCACGTAGCCTGAGGTGAAAGAAGAGAAAGGCTCAGAGAAATGAGCCAGGGGGTCCATCTAATGAGTAAAGCATGGAGGAGGGTCCAGTAGAGGACAGAGAAGGGGGAACCAGAGAGGAAGACAGGAAATGGGGCAGCGTGGTAACTGGAAGGGAAGTGAAAAAAGTGCTTCAATTGTAGTGAGGTCAGATAAGCTAAATATACAGAATTCATCGGTGACCTTTAGGAGCATTGTCTCCAGAGGGGTGGGGACAACAAAGTGGTAACGACAATAGACATCTCTTTGAGGAAGTTAGCTTTGTAGGGAAATAGAGAAATAGGGTCAAGGAAAGGTCGTTTTTAAAGATAGGACATATTAGGGAATTTTTTGTTGTTAGTGAAGATGATCAGGTAGAATGGGAGAGGACTGATGATACAGGTGAGATGGAGGAAGAGGGAGGCAAGTCTCAGAAGATCAGGGCATGGGACCAGGGAAGACATACAGAATGAATGGTTGCAGGCAGATGGTGGATTTGCTAGTAGGATTATGAGGAAGTTGATGACAAGCAGTTTCTGTTGGGGCCCACTCGACGGCAAACAACAACAACAACAACAACAACAAGGAAAACAGAGACATGATACCTCATAAAATTTAAAAACATATTCATCCAAAGATTTTACCAAAAAAGTGAAAGGGCAAGCTACCAACTAGGATATTACTTCAGCAACCATATTTCTGATAAGAATCTAAGAATCAAATAAATATATATATATATATATATATATATATATATATATATATATATATATATATAAATTTGACATATTAACAGTAAAAAGACACAGCCTAGTCATAAAATGGGCAAAAGAATTGAATAGATATTTCAACAAAGAAGACTTTCACATGGCCATCAAACACATGAAAAGGTGTTGGATATCATTAGTAATCAGAAAGATGCAAATCAGAACTAAACTGAGATACTGTTTCACTCCCATGAGGATGGCTAAGATGTAAAAGGAAAAAAAAAACATAATAGCAAATGTTGCCAAGAATGTGGGGAAATTGGAAACCTTATCCATTGCTGGTGAGAATGCAAAATAGTGTAGCCATTGTGGAAAACAGTGTGATAGTTCCTCAAAAAACTAAAGCTACCGTTAAAATAAATAAATAAATAAAAACCTCAATGCAGTCAAGTCGGACCCAATTCATAGTGACCCCTCCTTGGGTTTCTGAGGTGGTATCATTATGAAAGTAGACCTTCCAAGGAGTGGCTGGTGGGTTTGAACCGCCAGCCTTCTGATTAGTAGTCAAATGCCTTAGGCCCCAGTAATTCTACTCCTAGGTATATACCCCAAAGATTTGAAAGCAGAGACTCAAATAGATAATTTTACACCAATGTTCATTGCAGTACTACTCACAATTGCCAAAAGATGGAGCAAATCCAAATGCCTATCAATGAATGAAAGGATAAGCAAAATGTGGTGCGTACATATAATTTAATACTACTCAGCCAGTAAGAGAAATGAAGTCTTGATACATGGTATACTGTGAGTGGAGCTTGAAGACATTATGTTGAGTGAAATAAGTCAATCACAAAAGGACAACTATTGTATGACTTCATTTACACAAAAAGACAAGAACAGGCAAATATATCAAGACCAAAATTTCTTAGTGGTTACTGGGGAGTGTGTGAGGGTGAAGGAGACTTACTGCTCTTAGAGTACTGATTTTTTTGGTTTATGGTGATGGAGAAATCATGCTGATAAAGGGTAGGGTTGCATAGCTGATTAATTGCTGTAAGAAGTTGATTAGGAAAAAGTGTGATATATATATTTACAACAATGACCCAAAAAAACAAAACCGCTGAGAGGCAGCTTATTATGTACAATCATATACCACATGGGATTTGGTTCCTTGGTTTGGAGGTTTAAGGGACATGGTTTTGTGGGACGTCCTAGTTAATTGCCTAATAACATGTTTAGTGCTTCTGTTCTACCTCCTAGTTCCTTGTGTAGTACCTGAGGTCTTGAAAGCATGCAAGTGGCCATCCAAGCCACAGGTGGCCTCTATTTGTTGGGGGCCACAAAGGAAGAGGGAGAGTCAGGAATAGAAAGAAGATAAGGAATGTGTTACTAATTGTCTCCGTGAACAACAGCCTCCTCTTCCATGAGACCAGAAGAGTGGGTAGTGCCTGGCTACCTTTATTGAACGTTTTGATCAAAGATTCCATAGAAAAATCAGAAGGAGGAAAATGCAGAAAGAATTTAAAATTCTCATGGACTCTAGCCTTTCTGGAGTGTGGAAGGTGGATGAATCTCTGAAACTGTTTCCTTAAGATAATATGTAAATCTTAAACCAAAAATATCCCCTGAAGTCTTAAAAGCAAACAACAAAACCAAAACAACCCACTGTCATCGAGTTGATTCCACCTCATAGCAACCCTCTAGGGCAGAGTAGAACTCCCCATAGGGTTTCCAAGGCTGCAAATCTTTACAGAAGCAGATTGCCTCATCTTTCTCTTGGGGAGCAGCTGGTGAGTTTGAGCTGCCAACTTTTTGGTTAGTAGCCAAATGCTTTAACCACTGTACCACCAGAGTTTCTTTAAAACCAAACAATAGCTTAATTAGTAAAAAAAAAAAAAATGTCTGCCTTGAGCATAATGGTCTTTTAGGAACTATCTGTGTGGGAGCAAACTGACAACTCGAAAGACACAAAACTTAGCTGGCAGTATGGTTATGTAAATGAGCGAGAAACACCTCAGAAAAGGAGGGTGAGAATGCACAGCTCAAAGACTATTATCAGGTCCCTGAATTATACATATAGAACCTTGAATTGATGTACGTTTTCACTGTGTATATCTCAACAAGTAAATAATTACATAAATTATTAAAAAGCAATCGACTTGGGCACCTAACAGCAGCAGCACAAGATGGCTCCGGGTTGTGCCTTTCCTTGAAGCAGACTTTGTTGTTGTTGTTGTTATGTGCCATCGAGTCAAACCCGACTCATAGTGACCCCTCCTTGGGTTTCCAAAGCAGTATCACTACAGAAGTAGATTGCCCCATCTTCCTTCCGAGGAGTGGCTGGTGGGTTTGAACCGCCAGCCTTCTGGTTAGCAGTCAAGTGCCATAGGCACTACGCTACGAGAGCTCCCTGAAGCAGACTTACAACTGTGAAAAAGAAAAGCCAGCACCAAGGATTGAAAAAAAATACATTTTTCAACAAAATAGAGATGTGGTCATCATTTAGAAAGGGTAGGGAGAGGTTTGAGATGAGAGCTGACAGTGTGAAAACAGAAAGTCAGCACAGTAGATGTGGGACTGCCAGGCAGTAGAGGGTGGCAACATATTTGTGGCCATGAATCTGAAGTGAGACCAATCAGCCCATTTTTGTGTTTTATCGAGCAGTGTTCAGCTGCTTGGGTGCAGACCAGGGGGTATAAAGATTATTGTATTTAAGCAGAGTTGAGGGAAAATAGAGTTGAAGGAGTTACAGATGTTTGCAAAGCAGTGATGATGTGGATAACCGTGGAATCTAATGTAGAACAGAGGAACATTCAGGACACATGGCAATGGTGAAAAAGTAGGAGGTTATGTTTCCTATGATCAGAAACTGAACTGAAATGATCTTCCAAGGCCCCAATTCCCAGTTCTAGGCACTTTGTTAGATGTTACCTGACATCTTAAGAAAATGATTCTGTTGATTAATGATAGTAATAAATCAAACATACTGCTATTGAGTGAGTCTGACTTATAGCGACTTTCTGGTAGTGTAATGCCTAAGGCACTTGACAGCTAACCAGAAGGCTGGAGGTTCAAACCCACCAGCCACTCCTAGGAAGGAAGATTAGGCAATCTACTTCTGTAGTGATATCACCTCAGAAACCCCCGGAAACCCAAGGAGGGGTTGCTTTGAGTCAGATCCGACTTGATGACACACAACAACAACAATGGGGCTGCAAATCTTTACAGAAGCAGACTGCCTTATATTCCATGGCGTGGCTGGTGGGTTCAAACCACTGACCTTTTGGTTAGCAGCCCAGTGCTTTAACTACCACCAGAGTGCCTCATGATAGTAAGAGCTAGTAGTAGTTCATTTTTTGAGGATTTACTAAGTGCTGTCACTGAATAAGTATTAATTGCATTTTGTGCTGAATAGAACCAACCATTTGAGGTAGGTAATATTACTTCTCATTTACAGATGAGGAAACTGGCTTAGAGTGGCCAAATCACTTGCATAAGATTAAATAGCTTAGAAGTAGCAGAGCCAGGACTTGAACCCAGTTTCACTTGGCTCCAAAGACCATGTTCTTAACCACTGTTCCATACTACTACTGCTGTCTCCTCTAACTCATTGGAATACTTGAGATAACCAAAATCCAAACCCAACCCATTGCCATCAGGTTGATTGCAACTTCTAGCAACCTTATAGGACAGAAGAACAACCCCATAGGGTTTGCAAGGCTTTAAATCTTTACGGAAACAGGCTGCCTCATCTTTCTCCATGGAGTAGCTGGTGGGTTCCGCTAACCTTTTGGTTAGCTGAATGCTTTAACCACTGTGCCACCAGAGCTCCTTTAATACTTGAGAGATGGAGGATTTATTTATCCTTTAAAATATACCATGTTTAGTTTAAGTGTTTTCCCTTGGAAATAGGAGTAGAAAACTGAAAACATTTGTTGAAGCTGGATAAACCAGAAAATGCCTGCCTTGTATACTGGAATTAGGCAATGGAATTAGGCATTAATTGGTTTCAGTTCATATGACCCCAGTCGGCCTCATTTTTTCATTTCTCAAGTTAGGCTGAAGATCTGGACTTTTATGGGAAGACTTTGGATATTTGAATATTATTAACTTATATTTTTAAAAGCTCTGGACAGGGTAAACAAAACTAATAGCTTACAGGCCCCATTTGGTCTACAGGCAACCAGATATGACGACTGCTTTAAAATGTTTCCAAGCGTAGTAAATAAATACAAAAAATTTCAGCTAGACAAAGTGCTGTGCAGTGAGTCATTTATTCAAATACAGGGCAAGCAAATACAGTCTCAGCACATAATTAACAGTGGTACTGAACAAAATAAAAAGTTCCAAAAAAAAAAAAGTTGTAATTTAGGGAGCTGGATCGTGTTATGGAATAGTAGGCTATTAGTTCCAACTCAAGATGACCCATGTGTGCAGAGTAGAATTTCTGTTCCTTAGGGTTTCTGTGGTTACCTTTTGAAAGCAGATCTCCAGCCTGTCTTCCATGGGTGGGTTTGAACTTCCAACCTTTTGCCTTGTAGTCAAGTGATTAACTGTTTCATCACCCATGGACTGTCTGGAAAGTTGATTCTGACTCATAGAACAGAGAACTACCCCATAGGATTTCCAATGTGGAAGTAGACTGCCCCATTCTCCCATGGAGCAGCTGGTAGATGGGAACTGCCAACTTTTTGGTTAGTAGCTGAGCACTGAGCCACTGTGCCACCAAGGTTCCTTGAAAAGTAGGTAGGAGGTCATAAAAGAGAGTCTCACAGTTACAAGAGAGTCCTTGCAAGTGAAAGCCACTTTTTTTTAGCCATTCAAAAAGTAGCTCAAGGGTCTAAAGACAGGCACCTAGTCCAGGCTGTGTTAGTCAGACTTAGTTTTAGATGAGCTCCTTACATCTCTGACGGAATGTTTGGGTTTATCTCACAAAGGGGCATTGTTAAAATACTAAGAAATAACAGGAAGGCCTTGAGAAAGAAAAGTACTATTGAAATGTGAAAATATTTCCATAAGCAAAATATTTTTGAGACTCTAACAGAGTTGCTAATTTAAAAGTTAATTGTTTACCAGTGGAAGAATGAAAATGTTCAAGGGTAAGAAATGAGATTATTAACATTTCATGAACCTGTAGTGACTGTTCTGGTATCTCTTAAGCTTCAAGATATCTACTCTGTACCTATTATGACATTTGTTTTATTTTTTAAAAAAAACCTTCTATTTTCAGTTGGATGGATTTATTGCTCGAAACTGGGCCAATCAAAAATCAGCTTTGGGAAGTGCTCTTGATCCACTTGCTGATAAAATACTTATCAGTATCTTGTATGTTAGCTTGACCTATGCAGATCTTATTCCAGGTAAGAACGCCACCCTGGCATAGTCAGCCTAGGATTTCTCTTGACTAAGACACAGAATTTTTTTTCCCCAAAAAACTGTAGTTTTCAACTTTAAACTGTTTCCTTACTTTTATTTAAAAAAATTTTGTTTCCCTAATTTTTAACCATCGAACTGTTTGCTTGTCAAGCTGCTTATTTTACTTTAGAATTTATGCCCTTATGATACTAATAAAAGCAGTTTTCTTAATAAGATTATTTAAAATTGAGCAAACAGTATTTCATAATGTTACCAAATTATTCTAGAATCTTTTGGAGTTGTATTATATATTAGTACCTGGGTTTTTTTTTAAGTAATTTAAATTTTTGCTAAGTATTATTATCTTTGTTAAGTACAATTTAATTATAAATGAGAACTCTGAAATCCTAAAAATGTCTGTAAAATTTCACATTATTACTTAGATGCTGTCATTCAGTTTTCAGATCATAAGTATAATTTATACATTATCTGAATACTCTTCTAACAAACTCATAAGATCTTTTGTTTATATTTCACTTGTGCTTTTCTGTTTATTTTCTCTTGCAGCTTTATTTCATAATCAGATTTTCTCCCTCAGTTCAGATTAAACTGTTTCTAAGAGTTAGAAATGGGATCCGAGAACAAAGAAGCTGATATATGTCCTTCAGTAGCTTGTTCTGGCATTTGATAGATTCCATTTAATAGACTTTTCTCAAGTTGGTGATTCTTTTTTTTTTCCTTTACCTTAGGATTTTTTAAGTTCCAGTATCAAATTTAGAAACTAAATTGGACTAATGTTTATGTGCTCCTTTTGAGAATTGAGGTTTGTATGTGGTTGACAGGTGAAGGGATAGGTTCTCTCTTTCTGATGGATATAATTTGTAAGGAAAAAAGAACCTAAAGAGTATTCTGTTGATGTTATTAAAAATCCAAGTGATTGTTTTCTTTGTGTGTACGTTTTCATACCTTCATTTTAAAAAGGTGCATTGTGTTTTGCTGTTGCTTTACAGAGGTTGGCCAAGTCGCTTGTCTACTGAACTTAGTTATCTAGTGCTGCTATAGCAGAAATACTACAAATCAGTGGCTCTAACGAACAAATTTATTTTCTCACAGTTAGGAGGCGAGAAGTCTGAATTCAGGACAGCAGTTCAAGGGAAGGTTTTTTCTCTCTTTTGGCTCTGAGGGGAAGGTCCTTATCTCTTTTCAGCCTCTGTAGGCTGAGAGTTCCTTGGTAATCTTCATGTGGCCTGTTAATCTGTCCTCCCCTATCTCTGCATCTCTAGTTTGCTTGTTTAATCTCTTTTAGGAGCTCTGGTGGCATAGTGCCTAAGGCATTTGGATGCTAACCAGAAAGCCAGAGGTTCAAACCCAGGAGCCACTCCTGGGAGTAGTAATATAGCCTCTAGTGATACTGCCTCAGAAACCCAAGGAGGGGTTGCTATGAGTCCCATCACTCACAGCAGTTGAGTTTTTTTTTTTTTTTTTTAATAGCTCAAAAGAGGTTGGCTCAAGACACACCCTACACTAGCAAAGACAGACCATTTCCAAATGGGATTATAACCACAAGTGTTAAAACAAAACAAAACAAAACCCCAAACCCACTGCCAGCAACTCAAAGCCTCCATTGGGTTTCCAAGGTGGTAAATCTTAATGGAAGTAGATTGCCCCATCTTCCTTCTAGCAGAGCGGCTAGTGGGTTTGAACCGCTAACCTGGTTAGCAGTCAAATACCTTAGGCACTGTGAGCCACAGGCATAGAGGTAGCATTTGTAACATACATATTTTTGGGAACATAATTCAACCCATAGCATGAAAATAAATTGTTTCCACGTTTTTGGTGTTAGGAATAATATTGGTATGAGTTTTATCTAAATGAAAAATAAGTTACTCTCTATTCCTAAATGTTACCTAGGATTTCGCAGTAGTTCTGGGACTTTCCGCTTTCTCACTTTTGTGTTGCGTCTGTTGATTCCAGGCTCCCATGTCTTTTGTGTTAAGGTTAAGGTTCTCCTTTTGCTGGAGTACATCCTGTAGGTTTTTTTTTTTTTTTTGATAAATAGGTGCAACATGACAGCCCAGTTTTGAGATGTCTTGCACATCTAAAATTTCTTTATTTCATGCTCATACTTGATTGAAAGTTGAACTGGTTATAATTTTGTAGTTGCAAATTATTTTCACTGAAAATTTTATAAGCCCTGTTATATAGACTTAACATTCTACTTTTGTATTGAGAATATCTTTTTCCTTTGTATGTGATTGTGTTTTGCTTTGGAAAGCTTTTATTTTTTAAACATTATTTCTAGTTGATGTTTTCAGAAGTAATCTCTTTTTAAAATTCACTTATATGGATACCTGGGGTCTCTGGTTGGCATAGTGCCTAAGGCACTTGACTGCTAACCAGAAGGTGAGTTCAAACCCGCTAGCCACTCCTTGGAAGGAAGGTTGGGCAATCTACTTCCGTAGTGATACTGCCTCAGAAACCGAAGGAGGGGCCCCTATGAGTGGGATCCGATACCCAGTTATCCCAGCACTTTTTATTGAAAAGTCTGTACTTTTTCCACATTGACTGTAATGTCTATATGTATATGGGTCTGGGGTCTGGGCTGTCTAGTTTCTTCTCCACTACCACCCAAATTACTACTGCTATGCTTAAAGTCTTGATATGTGGGAGAGCAAGTCCTTCCACCTTGGATATTCTTAGCCCTTTCCATTTGTGTATAAATTTTAGAATCACCTTTTCAAGTTCCCCAGAAAAATCTGCCAGGGTTTTGATTTGGATTGCATTGAATTTATTGATCTATTTGGAAGAAATTATATCTTTACAGTAATGAGTCTTCCAGACCAACAAACATGATATATCCACTCTAGTAAGGTCATCTTTAATGTCTCAAAAGTTTATAGTTTTCCCCAGAGACATAAAATACATTTTTGGTTAGATTTTTTTCCTAGGTAGTTGATAGTTCTTTATGCTTTTTTCATTGGTTACCTTTTGAGTAATTCCTTTTGTAATACCTGTGATGTTAATACCTTGAAATCAATTCTGTGTCTAATGTTAAATTTTTGTGTCTAGCTTAACTGGCTGATTTTAAAATTTATGTGTAACATGTGTCTAACACGTGTCTCTTATAGGCAGCATATTGATGGACTATGTTTTCTTTTTTTTAATTTTTGTGATTTGGGTGAAAGTTTACAGAGCAAATTCATTTTCCATACAATACTTCATACACATTTTGTTTCATGACATTGACTGCATTCCCAAAAATATAACAGTTCTCTTCTCACTTCCTCCCCATAGTTACCTCTTCCCATGCACTCCCACCCCCTGAGCAGTCTCCCTGTGTAAACAACTGCTGTTCTGTTCTCTGATGATTTATCAGTCCAAGGAGTGTATGTACCTGATGTAAATGTTCACCCCACATGCCTGTCTATTGTTTGGCAGAATTTACTTTTTCTTCCTAACTTTGAAACTGTCTCTTCTATCTTGATGTAGTCTTAACTTCTTCTCCATATGAAAGTTCTCTGATTGCTCCATTTATTTCCCCTTTTTGTTTTGAAGTTGTTGTTTATAAATTGTGACATCTCCAGTTCCCTATTTTCAGTCTTACAGCTTTATTTTTGAAAATTCTTCATCTGGGTTGGTTTCCAGGTGTTGTTGTCGTTTGTCTTAATTTCAGGTTGTTGTCTGATACTGTTGGTTCTTTTTCCAAAAGACTCCCTTTAGTATTTCTTGTAAGGTTGGTTTTCACAAATTCCCTTAATTTCTTTTTATTTGGAAATGTCCTAATTTCACCATTGTATTTGAGGGATCATTTTGCTGGATGTGTACTTCTTGATTGGCAGTTTTTTTCTTTCAGGGTTTATATATGTCATCCCAGTACCTTCTTGCTTGCATGGTTTCTGCCAAGAACTCCCAGCTTGGTCTTATTTGTTCCCCTTTGTAGGTAACATTTTGTTTTTCTGAAACTGCTGTCAGGATTCTTTCCTTGTCTTTGATTTTTTTTTTTTTTTTTT